TGATTCTGTGATTCTATGATTCTATAATTATGTACAGCACACATTCTCGGTTAAGACTAGAAACTTTTCTAATCTTTTGTTTTGCTTCCACTTATATGGTAATATCAGAAATGTGGGGGAGAAGCTATCAAATTGCATTTCTCAAAGTGAGAAACTGAGATGGTGATAGAAGAAATGTTGAGGGTTCCTATTAGTGTTGTTGGCTGTCGTTGATGTTACTGAATGACTGAAGGAGTTTCTAGGATAAAAACATTTGTGTAATTGGGGATGGAGGACAGGTTAATTCAGTTGTTACCTTGAGTAGTTGACTGACAATTGGAAAATTTTATTCTGAAATTTCACTTAGTAATTGCATTGAATTTCAGCGAGGTATTTTATAGTGTTGGTAGAAAAGAATCTACCTGAGATACTTAATGGTACAGAAGATGATCTGGATTAAAGCTGCCATGTTAATCTCTTAATCTTGGAGCAATTTAATGATATCAGCCCAGTGTGGTCCACAGTGTAGCCACAGAATTTGGGGGCAATGGAAACTGATCTGTAGCCTAAGCTTTTTCTGCAGGCAGCTGCTAGGACATAATGAACGAAGGAATTTATTCCAATCCACAAATTTGTTTCATTTTCTTTTAGGAAAATACTTCATACTATGTTATTTCTACTGTATGGAGAGGATCTAAATCCAGTGGTTTTATTGCTACAGTCTAAAGTTATCAACAGTTATGTACAGGAAAGAGTCAAACTCTAAAATGTGCGTGTTCTTCTTGTCTTGTTTCTTACAGTTTGATGGAAAGCTTGTTACAAGACTCAATGAAACCACGGTGATTTTTTCTTCCCCACCCATACTGGAAGACCCAGAAAACTATAACATTACCACTATTATTCTAATGGATCATTATCATTTGGTTGTAAAAAATGAGAGCCACTCCTTTGCCTATGTTGCAGACCCAACCTTTGAAAACTTCACAGATGGCATCAAAAAACAAGTCAACAAACTTATTAATGCAAAGGTAAACTTGTCAAGAGATGGTGGTTGCTCATTTTGTCCTTGAAGCATGTATGGAATTTTTCCTTCCTTTCTCGAACCCTTAACAGCTGTTTGGTACCATTCCCAAAACGCGTGGTAGAGTCCCTTACCTCTGCTAGATGATGAACATTGTCAGCTCCCCTTTCCTCCCCCCTCCCCTTCTCAAAAATAGTTGCTATCTTTTTAGCGATACTTTGGGGTTCCCAGGGATGCCCCCTCGTGCTGAGCCTGGCATTTGGAAATGCCCTCTGCCGTAGAGCTCCCAAGGACTGGAGGGGACATCTCTTTTCGCACCAGGAAGGAAAGGAGAGGCATTGCATAATTCCCAACCACTCTGCTCTTCTGTATACTGCAGTACAAATGACATCTGCTGCTACAAATGATCCAAATGGAAAGTAGCAGCTCAGGACTTCTTGTCTCCCAAGACTTCGCAATGATGACTTAGCCTTGTATTTTCTGTCTAGGGCAGTAACCTGAACAAAGCCATGACGATAGACGAGGCCCAGGCTTTTGTGGGTGATGAGCCTTGCAACATAAAAACACTAACTGAAACGGACTTATATTGTGAGCCACCAGAAGTACAGCCTCAACCAAAGAAACGGCAGAAGAGAGATACCATCAATAACCTTCCTGAATTCATTGTACGTTACTTTTTCAATAGAATTTAATATCATGTGTAAGTGACACTGATACAGTGCTTCTTAATTGAAGTAATTTGTTCTCCAAAGTTTTTATAGTACCGTGAAGAAACTCCTTGCAGTTCTTTCTTCCTCCAGCTTCTGCCTGCTGTCTAGAAGACGTCACACGTAAAGAGCGGTCCCAAGCTGCCAAATGCCTTCTACCTTCATTACATAGGAATGTAAAATTGTAGCTAGACAGCCTGGGGATTTTACTTCTTCTGCTAAGCAAAATAAAATTACTTCATGGAATAACGTGCTAGTGACCTAAATTCAGTATAAAATATTCAGAAATGTTTCCTTTGTTTGGCAGTTTGAGCTAGTAATTCACTTAGTGACAATTACTAAGAAATTAGAGCACAACTGAGAAATGAACCACTGTCCATTTGCACTTTTTGAGACAAATGTCTGTGCTTATCTAATTAGGTGAAATTTGGACTCCGGGAATGGATCCTGGGAAGAGTGGAATATGATACACGTGTGAGTGACATCCCACTGAATGTTATTTTGCCACTGGTACTGATTCCTATGATAGCAATCATCGTAATTTCTATCATCTGTTACAGGTAAGTTCCTTTAATAGGTGTTTTTGCTGTCCTAAAGCTTTCAAAGTACTACCTGATTGTTTTCAGCTCAGTCTACAGAAATTATCTTCATCTTTTTTATGAGCTGCAGAGTTAAGAAAGGCAGTTACAGCTGGAAATATGTATGAGCACCAATGTATTCCTCTCACGCACACCAAATTCCTTGGTGTCAGTCAGCCCAGCCCGTCCTTTATACATAAGCACAACAATTGCTCCCAGGCTTGCTAAGTGCACAATTGCAGACTGAGTTGCACACATACATTCTTGAAATGGCAGCTAAAGTGCCTCTTGTGAAGGAGATAACTTACTCTCTATACATATCCATCAGCGTTTATGCTGTCTCAGTCAGCACTGTAGGTCTGAGCTGGATGGATTTGGCTAAGGGGTCGTTTTGGCCTTTCCAGCTGAGATAAGTGTTACCCACACAAAAATTTCATGATTAATGGTGAAATTCATGCTTTACAAAGGGCCAGAACAATGTCTGTATTTCACTTAAGACCTACTTAGCCCAATTTTAAGGTTAGTAATGAGGGCCTCATACTGTCCTCAGGAGGGGGTGGATTTCACTCTTATGGTGCATATCAATATAGCCAAAGCAATGCTGAAGTATGTGCTGTATCACACTGATGTTCTCGTGGACCTCCTGCAACCTTCTCAATTCAGTCCCAGACACACTCCTGGGTGGCTCAGAGCCAGTGCAGGACATGTTGCAAGCAATCTTTGTTCAATACATAGAAATTGAGTTTCTGTACTTAATATGTGATTGAAAGCATTTGTAGCTACTGCTTATTGGATTTTAAATCACTGGCCCATGGGTGCTTTGAAGCAGCAGGCCTGTGATGGTGCCAGGTTGATTTACACAGAACGAGGACTTGGTCCACTGTTGCTGTTCTCCTCCTCCATTCTCCTTCTGCTGCCAGTGTTTAAAAAGAAATCAAAACCAGGAGAAAGTCCTCCAGTCCTTTGGCTTCCCGCTCAGAGCTGTTGCAAATTATTTACTTTTGCAGTTTGTAACTCTTTTAAAATCTTACCTCTATTCCATAAAGACGCAAGAGCCAACAAGCAGAACGAGAGTATGAAAAAATTAAATCACAACTTGAAGGCCTGGAGGAGAGTGTCAGAGACCGGTGCAAGAAGGAATTCACAGGTATGACAGATATTTGCCCTCCTGTGGGTCCTCTTGAGCAATCAGGAGATGGGCTGGAGCAATGGTGCTAGCTTGCTAAAACTGTCTTCTGGGAATAAATAATTAGTAGATCTTAGTAGTCTTGACTACTGACACTAACATACAGCAGATATTTTGTTATTATATATGAAAGCCGTAAATAAAATAAAATAGGGAGCTGAGGTTATTAAAGGACTTTAATATAAAAAGGATAGTTTTACTCTAAAGGAAGCACGGAGTTAGCAACTGGGAAATAGAAACTAGTTGAGATTGGGGTTACTTATAGCCATTAATGTGAGTGGCCATTGATACAGAGGAAAGGATATTTTACAGTGACTAACCGTGCACTTAGTATTTAGCACAATGGCTGTGTGTGCTAAGTATGCACATTAAAAACTGTTTTCAGAGCTGCAAAATTTATTTGCAACAATCAGCATACAAAGGGATAATTTGGCAAGCTCACAGGAAAGAAATAGCATTTTGCCCTATTTATCGGGAGAAAACCTTAAGCATGATTTGAGGAGCTAGCTAATTGTTCTGTGTAAATGTAGAGGTATCGTCCCAGGGAAGGCAGCGGGAGGTGTGAAGGCTCAGCATTTCTATATGTTGAACTACGCAGTGCAATGCTTAAATTAGGCATCTGAGTGCAAACATTGCAAATACTGGCCTAAATGATTACCATGAAATGTCACCTCACTATCTGAATTATACTTGCTGTTGGGTCATGTTGAAATAATCTCTACTAAAAAAAACCCACATTTTATTTCTAAAGAGAAATAGATTATTTCATATTCACAGTGGCTAAAAAGCAGGATTGAATTGAACAACAATTTCATGTTAGAGTTTCAAACTAATTTAAGAAGCTCAGGGTATCTCAAAGATTTCAGCCATGCTGGAAGCCTCTCCCAGTCTTGTTTTTCTGGCATTTCTGGGACAGGATATTCTTTTCTTGTACCAGCTTGCTTTCTCTGGAAAACCAACTCCTTCCAGGTTCTGGACACAAACAGAAGCAAATGTTTGAACCAAGAACTATTCCCAAATGGGCTTCATTTCAAACTGCATTTTGAACTGTGAGAGGATCGATCAAGGTTAACAGCCTTCCCTCTCACCACCTCTCCCATGGAACTTCATACCCATTTCTGAAAGGAGAAGGTGCCTTTCTCTTGCTGACACTCCTAGCAGGGGGCTACAGACTCCTGTTGCGTGTTGGGTTGAAGGTTTCCTCTCTGCTCCACCAAGCACAAACACTGGGGAAGTAGAATGCACATCCAAGGAGTAATCCAGTTCCTAAACTGCATCCATCTTGGCTGACAGTAAAATGAAACACTGAAGTCAAAACATGTTCTGGATCCATACTGTGAAACTGTAATGTCAACAGCACAAAGTGCAGACAGCCTAAAATACGTGGGAACAAAGATAGCCAAGGGACATCAGGGAGGAAGTACAAATACCACGAAGGTGGAAACCACAAGATGCTTTCTCCCGCAGCTTTGCTGAATGCTATAAAACAAAGAGGTAAATGAATGAACAAGAGCAATAAAATTACTGAGACAATAGGTCACTGTATTAATTAACATGGTATTCTAGTCAATCAGCAATATTGGGTAATTGGAAAGCCTTCAGCTAAATAGCTGCTCCAAAGGATGATTCCCTAATCACTAGGAGGATCACTTTCCCTAAAAGTCACTTTTAAGAACTTCAGAGCTTTTGAGTCCCACAGAAATGTTTCCATCAATTCCAATGAACCATTTAACCTTCTTCCTTCCTGCCATCCCCTTTCTTCCAATTAAATTTGCGTGCTTTACACTTTAAACCTTTCTTTCCTTGATTGCTGTGTGTTTTTTAGAAGAACTTTTATTACTACCTAGACTGAGAGGGAATAGAATGTGCACTGAAAAAAAAGAACCAAGAAAACAATATTGCGGTGTCTTTTTTTGGCTCTGTGCTACAATCCTACATTCGTATACATGAACTCACCCAGACGTCCATTAAGGCCCTTTTTCAGATAGGCAGCAACAAGGAAACCATCTGTGCTAAAGACAGTTATCCTCATGTCACCATAGGATTAGCTGTGGTTGTAGTTAACAGGATAGTTCGTAAAAATAGCAAGAGAAAACGTGAGATGAAATAGAATTTTTGGTGTTGAGTCGCTTTTTCTCCATTACAAGGCATCCAAAGAGATCGTGTTGCCTAAAAAAGCTGCAGGCTTTTTTTTAAATGAACCTTTAAACTGAATTGCATATTCCAGATCTAATGATAGAGATGGAGGATCAGACAAATGATATCAATGAAGCTGGAATTCCAGTACTGGACTACAAAACCTACACGGACAGAGTCTTCTTCTTGCCCTCCAAAGACGGAGAGAAAGACGTGATGATTACGGGGAAGCTGGATATTCCTGAGGCCAGGCGGCAGACTGTGGAGCAGGCTTTGAACCAGTTCTCCAACCTCCTCAATAGCAAATCATTTCTCATTAATGTGAGTACTGAAGTAGATTTGCCTTGTCTCTTAGCTAGGCATACCTGTGTGTGCAAGACAGTAGGTTTGCAAGCACAACTGAACCAAAATCATTAAAAATAAGTGATTTTCGTACAGTTCTGGTTCCACAGTAACCGCTGCAGATATGTGGCATCACAGCCAGAGCTTCCTGGTGGGGCAGAGAGGCAAGATCATTTTTCTGTGCCAGGTCACGTAGTATGGAGTTAGTCAACATCGCAGTGGCTGTAAGCAAACAGATATTACCCAATCTGGCATTAAAACTGCTGTTACAAGTTTGTTTTAGCCTTTTAAGAAGCGTGATCGGAGAATGCTGATTCCATCCTGGTTTATCACAGGAGTCACCTGTGGGGAGCCATCTGCTGGATCTCTGTCCCAGAGAGGCAGAGGCTCCTCAAGTGGCCTATTCATCGAGATTGATGAGTGCTCACAGCAGCTCTGAAGAGACTTCTAATTGCTCACTCTCAAAAACAGAGGCTGATTGTCAGACACCTAAATAGAGATTTAGGCTTTTAACTTTTTCTCCTTTTTTAAATGAGGCTCCAGTGCTGAACTAGTTAATGGTAGCATTAGTTTATGGCAGATGAGAGCGCATTCCCAGGTTTACCTAGATTAGTGTCTTTGTAATTTGATGTGAAAGGACTGGGAATTTGGGGGAGAGGGGAGTTGATTTTCTCCTTTAAAAAATTGTCACAGAACACCTTTTTTCATGTAATTAAAGCATCCTTTTTAGATAAGGCTTCAGTTAAAGTATATAAGCATTCCTTGGGTTAGTCCGGTACACTGTGTGTGTATCTAAAAACAAATTATAGGCAACATTTTCTTATAAGTATTTTTTTCAAACTTCTGAAAACTTTTCCATTCTGTGCTTAGGAGATTAATATTAAAATAATATTGCTTGTCTTCTTAGTGCAGACAAAGTGTTGAGGTTCTTCAGGAACCTGTCATCTGACTTGATTTTACATTTGTTTTCTATTTCAGTTTATTCACACGCTGGAAAACCAAAGGGAGTTCTCTGCTCGAGCTAAAGTGTATTTTGCATCTTTACTGACAGTTGCTTTACATGGAAAACTAGAATACTACACTGACATCATGAGGACACTGTTCTTAGAACTGATGGAGCAGTATGTTGTGGCCAAAAACCCAAAGCTGATGCTAAGAAGGTTTGAACGATTGCCATATTTTCTGTAGTTCTCTGGTTTTCTGTAAATGTATTTCTTTTGCAGTGTGACTGTATTAAAAAGCTAACTATCCATGAAAGTCAGAAATAGCCTGGCCCAAGCATATTAGGAAGACAAGCTCACCAGGAATAGCTGTGGAAGGCACAGGCACGACTGCTGGCAACAGATTTCCTTATTCAAATAATGTAGTGTAGAATCTGCATCGAGATTACTGAAACATCTACCTTACTTCAAAATACAATACCGAACATTTCATTTACTTTTTAATCTAATTTTATTCCAAATGATCTAGCATTTATACCACACATCATCTCCATAATGAGCACACATAATCAGCTTGCATTGTGCATTCAGTGAGGTCTTGCTCTAGTGTTTTTAACCCTGTTGTTATCCCAAATAAATTACCAAAGACCTTGCTCTGTGTATGTTGTAGCTTTGTAATCTGTAGCTTATTTCCCAGTAACTGCACAACTGGGTTAATTTTTTAGCTCTTACAGCATAGACCCAATTTAAGATTTTGCATAAAGCATGTGTGCTTTTCAGTAATGAGCTGAAGGTACCCGGGAATGATGAGCAATATAAAGCACTTATCCTAAAGCAAGTACATGCTCTCAAGACTCTATAGGGAAATCATTGCATTAGGAGACTGCATGCAGTTAAGCATGTAAAAATATTGTATTTCAAGCAAGCAATGTTTTTCTTTAAAGCTTTGTCATTAAGTACCCTTACCATACTTGGGGTTGGTTTTTTTTTTCAGATCTGAAACGGTTGTTGAGAGAATGTTGTCTAACTGGATGTCTATTTGTTTATATCAGTACCTCAAGGTAAGAGTTGAAGTCTGTTGCCTGTGGGGTTTTTTTTATCAATAATATTTAAACATGCTGCATTGAGTATATCTTTTGTTTTTGCTTTATTTCATTTCCTTTCCTTTAAACAGGACAATGCCGGGGAGCCTCTTTATAAATTGTTCAAGGCTATCAAACACCAGGTAGAAAAAGGCCCAGTGGATGCTGTACTAAAGAAAGCCAAGTATACGTTGAATGACACAGGCTTACTGGGAGATGATGTAGAGTATACGCAGCTGGTAAGCAGAGCATGATTAATATATTATAAAATAATTTTTTCTTTTAAAATTAAGTCCTGTAGTGTTAATTCTGTACATACTTTTCTGGACTGCTGTGATCTGCAAAGAAATTCTGGTCATGCACAGGACTGTTAATAGTTTGACAAAAGCAAGTCTCCAAGCAGGGAAATAGAATTATAAAGTATCTTCTAAGCGTTAAATCCAAGTCCTGCCAGTGTGGAATCCATTTTAGTAAATCCCTTTCATAATTTTCAAAGTCTGTCTGAACAGTGGTCAAGGTGTTTGGCTCCTTCCCTTTTCCCATCTAAATTAACTGGCAATTGATTTTTGCAGAATTCTTGCACTACGTTATGCTTGAACTTTGGGTTGTCTTTCTCCCTTGTGATTGCTGCTCGTCAGCATATCAAACATCATTTTAGAGATCATTTTATTATTATACCAGGATGAGCTCCTCTACAGTCCCGTGAGATGGCTCTGCAATCTCCAAAACACTTTATGAACCTGTTTCTGCACTTATTCCTGTGTGAGTCAAACTCTCCTGAACATGGGCAGCTGTGCCTTAAAAACAAAAAACCACGACAGCAGCCCAACTGGCATTGAAAGGGGTTTATTTCCACCTAAGGAAATAATTCCCTACAGTGATGAGGGGAAGCTGCTTCTACAGGCAGTTCTGGAGACCCGTGTTAGATGCTTCGAATGGGATGAAGTGGACATCCCTGCCCCAGGAATTCCCCATCTGATCAGCAGTGCCATGGTCCAGTTCTCTTCTATTATGAATTCTGCTTTGACTTAATTCTGTTCACTGCCACAAATTTCCACCACTTTTTCAACCGGACTCCAGCACACAGATTCACTGTCTTTTTAAAAAACTGAAGCAGCCCACTCTTCAGCTGTTTAGGGAGCGTAAATTCTAGTTTTACTCTTTCTGACAGTCTTGCTGGTTTTGTTCAGGATACGGTGTAATGAATATCAAAGATGCACAGACTGTCCTTCAAAGACCGTCACAGGATTTTTTTTTTCCCTCTCTGATTTGTCTTTTATTGACATGTTAGGAACCATTTGTGGTTGTCTCCAACTGAGAAAGATGCAGTGACATATCTGCAGTGTGGAAAGAGAAACTTAATAAAAAGCTTTATTAAGTCCTGGTAAAAAAAAATCACCATTTTGTCTATTCTGAAGGGATGCTGATGGGATGGCTGATGTGAAGAGACTGCTGTAGGATTTTCACTCACAGAATCACTAGACTGTGACCTAGACTGCCTGGAGGAAAAGGGTGTGCTGGGCAAGAAAAAATATTTTGAGTTCAATTGGTATTTTGGGGATTAGTTGAGTTGTCATCTTCATCTGAGCTGAAAGTGCCACCCATAGAAACCACACTGACTGGCAATGCTGGTTATATTTTCTTTTTTGTGTATGGAGAACAAAATTTACTTGCACTGTACGTCATGTAAGACTTAATGGCAATAATTCTTTATTCAGTCTGTTTCTTTTCACAAAAAAGCCAATGCCTGCAATTAAGCTAAATGAATGCAGTGTGAAAGCAGAAAATTTGTGTATGCAATCAGATGTGGGCACAACAAGCATACTAGCTAGATATTAAACTTCATAACGTTGTACAGTGGCAGTATTTGGTTACAGATTTCCCATCAAACAAAGATTTTATGTGTGTGCATGGAAGATGATGAGATACATATGTATATATATGTATGATGAAAGATTATGAAGGGGGTTACTATTGCTATAAATTATTAGGATCTTTGGCATGATGATGACATTGTTGTGGTAACTGTGAACAGTTAGGGAGCATTTGTACACCAAGGTAGGTTAAAGCATGAGTTAATTAGTTCACTTCTGCCCGAAAGTGAGACACGGTGGAAAAGTATGGTATAGAGCAGTTGTCTGCTTTCTAATTGTTCTTATTTAAAAGATGAATCTGTTTTGCATCGCTGGTTACACTGACATGCTGCATACGGAACCAGCAGCAAAATCATGTCTAATTACCATAAAGCTAATAGGAAAAGGAAGGTGAAATCTCATGATTAGTTTGAGAGTTCTGTCAAGGGACAGTGCAATCATGTTTAATTTGACTGCCGTATGGCGTAGCTTTTCTTCACTGTTTAAAAATACCAGCCATGCAAGTTTATTTCTGAGGTTTGAGATTATAAAATCAGGCATTATGGTTGGCAGGACCGTATGTATCTGAGAGCTGCGATGCTTCGGATGTGCCTGGCCTCCAAAGCTACCTGACTGGCAAAAGATCCACGAGGCCTCTGAGCTGTTGTACTGATTCAGCTAGTGAAAGAAGGAGGCTTTTCATAACATCTCTTTGGTTTTGGTGGGTTTTTTTCTTTCTGGGGAGGTTTCCTGGCCATCGTTTTCTCATTTGCTTTTGCTTGTATTAAAACTGACACTTATATAGCGAAGCTACTTTTAAAAAAATCACTCTAGATTTAGCAAATTACAGGCTTTCAAGAAATTCTCTTTAACATTAAAAAAAAAACATGTCAATACTATCAGAAAACAGTAATATTTTAGAACTAGCATAAACTACTTAGGAATATTTCCTGGAGCTATTAGAGTTATTGTGACAACAGTAAGCAGTAAATGAAGTCTTTGAATACCAAAGATGATATAAATGGCTTTTATATATACATATATATATGTGTGTGTGTGTGTGTGCATATTTATATATACCTAATGAACAGCTGGTTCACAGGAGGTAAAGTTACGGGAGCTGAACAAGCCACTGCTCATCAGTTGAGCCATGTTAAATCACCATATGTACAGACCTAGTCCGCTCGACTTGAGAAGTAAAACCACAACCATGAAGACAGCATAAAGGAAGGCAAAAGCACACAATATTCTAGGAGTTCAGCAAAGTGCAGCTCAAATGATTATTGGGAACTCCTTAAGTTTGGGCACTGCATTACTTGTGCTTTTCAATGTTCCAGGTTATCAGGCTATATGGGAAGCATGTAACTAGTCAGTGGTCCAGCTGCTTTGTTCTTGTGCATCCCTCTTTAATAAATTCCCAAGACTCAATAATAGTAGCATATTAGACATGAGTAAATCTATTCTGCATCTTTTGTATTTTGGCATAGTCGGAGGAATTAGCTGGAATTTACAATAGCTGGTTGGCTGCATAACAGCCGGTTGGCTGCGAAGGATCTCTCAAATAATCCATACTCCCATTGCAAATATGTGCTGCTGTGCAATAATCATTGCACAGTGAATTTTAGATATTGTTTGCATTTACATTGCCCAGAAAAACACATTCAGAGATAATTTAGCGCTGATTTGTCTTAATAACCGTGTACTTTCTTTTTTTTACAGACAGTAAATGTATATGTACAAGATGGAGGAACCGATTCCATACCTGTGAAAGTACTGAACTGTGATACCATATCACAAGTAAAGGAAAAGATAATAGACCAAGTCTATCGAAATCTGCCATGTTCTCAGTGGCCAAAAGCTGAGAGTGTAGTTCTTGGTAGGTAGCTACTTGTGTTACTATATTGAGCAGGTGAAACACGTTGTGTGATTTTGTATTTTCCCCAAAAATGTCTATAAAAGCAATTTATTGTTTAAAAAAAAAAAAAAGTTGAATTCATGTTTAGCTGGATGCAAAAATATAGCATTTTGTAGCAATCTTAATATGCATTAAAAATTAATGCTTTCTTACAGAGTTCTTTTTCCTGACTCTTAAAGTTTTGGTGTGCTGTCATTAATGTGCAAAGAGCCTGTTAATGACTGTTAGCACAAATGTATTCATGTCTGACAGAGTCAGTATCTCAGGTACTAATTAATGTGATAATGGCAGCATGGACAATTAACTGATGGAGAAGTAATGATGCAATTTCAGAAACTGGTACTGATTTTGACTTGCCTTTATGATGGTTATGCAAAAGAATTATAACTTACAGGAACGGCACTTTCAGGAGATGATGAGCCACCCAGCCTCTGAAAATCATCCTCCTTGAAGGATTTCTAAATTGCTGTTCTCTTCTTGAGAAAATGACGTAACTTAAAAGGCCTAATAATCTCATAATAAAAGCTTCAATTAATAGTTTTGCAATATCTTCATTACTGCCTTAATCTGAAAGTAGAGGATGCAATTCTTGCTTTTCAGAAAATCCTAGTAAATTACCTAAAATTGCCTTTTCTATTCCATACAAAGTCCTACTCCTCTATTTTGGACTGATAGCAGTTCTTATTATGTATATGTGTAGTATTTTATGCAAAGGAATTTAACTTTCTGTGGAAAATAATCAGAAGTCATGTGGATGATTAGGAATAGTTCATGCAAACTTCTGTAATAAAGGCCAAACTATTAAGCAATAAAAAACACGCATCGTGGCATGTGCCAAATTACTTCTTTTAATGTTCCACAATGCGTTAGTAGGTCTCTAAACTGAAACATTCTTGGAGTAGTTATTTTTGCACATGGTTAAAAACTGTTTTTTCTCATTTTAATTACCCCTTAGAGTGGCGTCCAGGTTCTACTGCACAGATCCTCTCAGACTTGGATTTAACATCCCAAAGAGATGGCAGATGGAAACGTATCAACACACTAATGCATTATAATGTAAGGAGGTGTTTCAGAGCAGTTGTTCGCATCTGTTAACTGTTCTCTAGTAATAAATAAAATCTTTATTTGTTTTTAGAGAAACTTCTGTGTTATATAAAGAATAAAAAAAACCCCTAGCTCTGGGTCTAGGCAGTAAAAGCTTGGGAGTGTGAAAGGCTAGGTCTAGAGATACTGCCTAAACATCTTACCAAACACACATCACCTAAATGCCAGCACTTTGGTTTCCTCATCATTGCAGTGTCCAAATGCAAATTCCCCTTTGAACTTTCAAAAGTTCCTTTTGATAGGTCTCATATTCATCTCTTCTTTTCTCTACCAATTCCTATCCCTGAGAATTATCCTTGTCTTTGCTCTGCTGCTAAATACATCTTGGGTTGCTCTGGTTTGTTCAACAGCCCAGTCAGGAGAGCAGATGCTGACGTTTTTTACTGTCTGTTTTAGGTTTCATACTGTGCACTCTACCAAGCACTTGCAATCCACTTATCTTCCCTTTGTATGCTATTTATTGCTTTCTAACAACAAATATCCTGGTTAGGAAAGATAGAAGTTAGTTAGTTTTCCCTCAGAAAACAGACAGGTCTGATTCTTCATGATAAACCCCATTTTTGTACAAAGGGCGCCCATGCCAGATTGAGGAACCACTGAAGTCTTGGAGATGCTTTTAGCATTTTCAGTAATCTCAGAGGAGGTGTTGATGGGATCTCTTATTAAAGGAGGGGGAGGGAGTCTGTTCTGAATTGCAGAGCCAGTTACCCAAGAAGCCTTTGAAGGGCAGCATTAATCATAGGTCTAGATTCCCAGCAAAAGATTACTGAAACCACAGTTTACGTGTTAAGAAAGAGGTTCAGTAGTGCATACTTCTTTCGAATAACATCCCTGTGTTTGTGTTTTCAAAGGTCCGAGATGGTGCCACGCTCATCTTATCAAAAATGGGAATTTCCCAGCAGCCAGAGGATAATCAACAAGATGTCCCAGGGGAAAGTAAGTATCTTGTGGCTTCACTACCTCCCAAAATGACTAGAAGTCAAAACCCACACAGAGAGAGTGACACTGCTGTCTTATCTTGTTTATCGAGCATGTCTGTGGAGCTAGATATTCCCCACCAGACTATATAGGGCTTATTTGTTTTGTGTTACCTACTGCACACTTGCAATGGTTTTCTTTGTCCTCATTATAAAAGCCTTAAATAATGGGGCTTTAACCATAATTGCTGTGAGTCCATACCCCAGCTTAATAGAAAGCACTCTTAGCAAACATTTCCGTGCATATTTTGTTTCTTAATCCCACTACATCTAGAGTCAAACCATATGTTTCATCCTTCCAAAGCTTTATCTCTTTTTCTCCTTCCCTCTTGCTTTTCTTCCTTTCGTCTCCAAATTTCTTCAACTTCTTATTAGACTGAGAATTGAATGCAGTGTTCTAGATGAACAACAGTAGAGACCAGCTCCCCTCTCTGTGACATAATGGATCTGATGTAATTTTTTTTATTGCATTTCTTACAACTACGTTGCCTTGCAAACTCATCTCTGTACATTGATATTTTGTGTCTCCCTCCCTTTGGGTGATGTTTCACCAGCTATGCTAGCTTGGTTTTTCCAGGGTTTGTTGGTTGGCTTTGTTCATTCCATGCATGTTATCTCTTTAGATGCAGCATTTTCCACAATTCCTTTTTTGGTTTTGAGGTTTGCAATCCACTCTAAGTTAGTGTCAGGAATTTCCTTATAACGTTTCCTCTCTTTCACATCACTAAAGCAGCTGTTGCATAATTCTTATATTACTGTCTGCTACAGTATGCTGGACTTCTCAACACGAAAGACAACCTGTTAGCTTGCAACCCATCTTTTAAAGCTTTTATTTCTACATGTTAGTATTCTGTCTAGACCAATTTCCTTTATCTCAAAACCTCTTGAGACACAAAAGCATTACATTACAGCCTAAAATGCACTCAGATTTTTATGGAAATATTTACTTGTAAATTTATGTTCTTTGTCACATGTGTTTCCTTTACATTTCAGATGTTCGGTTTCTCTTTTTTTTAATCCTTATATTCAGTTATTTTACACAACGTAGAAGGTAGATTTATGGAACAATAATTGTTGAGATCATTCTTCCTTCTGTGAACTCATTTGATATGCTTTTCTGTCTAGCACTGATTTCAAAAGCCATTGCTTCACCTAATAGTTTCATTCCTTTAAACAGATTTACTGATCTTAGATTTAATAGGTTTTAAGGGCTGGGCAGTCAAACAGATTGGAAATAATATTCCAGAAATGTACATTTTTCAAGAACATGGGTCTCAGCTGATAGCTCTGACATATATCGCTATTTAACAAAAATGCGCAGACTTCCATTTCATTTGTGTTGAGTCTTGGCCAGGAAATTAGGATGGGCAGAATTACTTGCCGTTTACTTTTTACTTTGTCCTCCTGGATGCTTTCTGTTGAGACTTTTTCCAGCATCCTTGAAGGGTCTTCTAATGGTTGTGGCTACACCTCTGCTGCTATCCTCTCACCCCTTTACTGCAAGTGCCTGCCATAGTTGGCCAAGTGGTGACTACTCTGTCACAGCAGGTGCCAACCCAGCATGTTAACGTAGAAAGCCAGTGAAGTGCAGCCAGGCGAGGAGTTGATTCCTAGTCCCCGTTCAGTTTGGTTGCACTGATTGCTGAGATAACTGCTGAAGCGGTAGTCGCCTCCACTCTAAAGAAGTGGAGTGGACCATGAATGGAGCCTGGTGGTGGTGTCCGTAGCTTGCTTTGCTTTCTTAACATAGAGCAGTGTTCAGTCACCTGTTCTGGGCTCCCAGTCTTCATCCTCCCCACCTCACTACCCTTGTGGCAGGCAGTAGAGGACCAGGTTTTCTTCTTTTGTTGGGTTTTTTTTTTCTTTCCTCCTTCTCTACAATGATATCTTTAGCTATGATTCAGTACGATGAAGCTCTTTGAACATACATGATCTGTACATGGTCTGTACATGACTCTGAACTTAGTGGCATACTAAATTGTAAAGGAAAAGCAGACTTCTGGGACAGTGCTGTCACACGAGGGCTCTCGTACACGAGAGAAAAATCTGCAGAGAGAATTCAGATCCCAAAGTATAGATTGAAGACAACTTCCACCATGTGTCTTCTCCACACCCTGTCTTGTACCATGGTAGTGTATAAATTTGGGAAGACAACATTTCATGCCAGGCTAGGCCATTTTCTTTAATGCCAAAGGGTCCTCAGAGCTATCTGGTGCCAACTTGTTCTTTTGGAAAGCTATAAAATGTTACAAAGCTAGTGCAAAGCGAGAGCCTGCAGTGACAGTAATTTGTGAGACGCTATGTGTATAAAAGGGAGAGGATCAGAGGCTTCCCCTCCCACACATACACATTTATATGACACAGGGATTTACAGGGTTGGAATAAATAGAAATCCTATCCTGGCTCTATGAATGAGGCTTGTGATGAAGTGGTTTTCTTTTTATTCAGTCTCTCTCATTAACTTGCACCTTTTGCATTGAGAAGTGTCAGCTGAAGCCATTGACTGTCTGCCAAAGTACTAGGCTTTGCACAGAACGAAAATGTAAAACCATGTTCAGAGATGTTGCTCTAAAACCTGGCATTGCTTCCATGCTGCTTTTGATTCACAGCTTCTAACAGGAAGACACTAGAAGCTGGAGGTTGTGACAAATTAAATGCAGCATCTTTTGCTTCTGGAGATAATAAATGCAATTACTAATTTGTATCAAGATGGAGAATGGTTTCAATGATTTCATGCTAGTATTTCTGTACTGAACTGTAAGCCAAAACAACACGCTTTGTTATTCTGGGGTTTTTCTCTGGGGTTTTTTTTTCCTTTTTTAAATCTGAATAAAAATAGACAGAGGGTTGCAGATCAGAAATACTGATTAGCAGATCTGTACAGGGCAGCCCTTCCTTCACCTCCATGGAGCGGTGTATTCACAGGGCAGGAGGAGACTGGAAGGAAGCTAATTTGCTGCAGGCCATGCAAAGGGAAAGGGGCTGCGTTGCCTGTCACCATCTCACTTGCCTCCGTATGTTTACATCATGGTTCATACCACTATAATTAGTAGCACAGTCAATATTTGGCATTAAACCCCCCCCCAGCGTTATTTTATATTGGCCAAAGAATGCCCAAGGGCCAAGACGGAGAGTTCGGTGGCAAGCATTTGACCCAGTGGGCGCAGTCTTCTCCCCGCTTACAGCTTGATATGACTACCGCAATAAAAAAGGAGGTGTTTTCCCCTATCTTTCATTTTCTTCACCTCCTACTTTTCCATTGGGGAAAATATTATCTCACAGAAACATTATTTTCTCTTAGCAACCATACTGCTGACATGTTTTGTTGCCCCCTGAATTTCTCTTCCTCTTTCTTCCTGCTATTTTTAGCAATGAAGTGGGATCTTTGTGTTGCAGAAGTTCATCTGCTTGAGCTGTAGTCTCTTAATCTCTACTTTCCTATGAAATAACTACTATTTCACTGGTAGCCAATTCTGTTGTTGCTAAACAAACACGGGCCAAATTAAGCTGCACATAAGGGCCAGTAATCTCAGTGGAAACCCCTTTGGTTGTTCCGCTTCTCTCCAAGTTAAACTGGGCCATATACCATCAGGAGGGCAAAGAGAGGATAAATTCCTTTGAATCAAAGGAGGAAGCAGAAGTGTACCAAGCGACTGACATAAGGCTGGAAAATAGTTTCTGCTCTAACTGCGTGATTTGATCTATTAATTTACAAAAGTAAATAACAGGCATTGCAAAAGAATTTCCAGACTTCAGGCCCAGCAGCGGTTCTTACTGTACTGGCGGATGATTGCTATGAATGGTATCGATTGCGAAATCGCAGCTGCCTCAAAATAAAGTGATAGGTTTTATTCCTTTCTTGCTTCATTCACATGAACTTCCAAGTCAAATTAAGAACTCTCAAAGGACAACGTGATTTAATGTGGGATTTTTTTTTTTCCCCTACCTGCTTAAAAAGAAGTAAAGGCTCCAGAAGACTGCATAGCTAATGCTTTTCATGAGGATATATAAAGCAGATTCAAGCGGCAGTGTTGGCTTGGCCAGATTACACACCAATGTTCTTTTCCCCTGTGATGTAAAATATTCAACATACATGCAAGCTGGTAAATTTAATGTAGCTGTTGAGGAACACAGTTAATAAACTACTACGGCCAAAAATTTGAAAGGACGAAGTTCATGCAATTAGAAACTGGTATTTTCTGCTGTAACTGGGATTCAGTTACATTAGATACATATATTAAAGCATAAAACTTAGCAGTAATGCAAAATAATTTGTGCAATAGGGCTGAATAACAATTTTTATGAGAAAAATAGCTTTCATATTTTTAAGACATTAATGATTTTAAATGGACTGATTGAGTAACTTCCACTGGAAAAGCGCCATTGATTTTAGGGACTATGCCAAGTAGATATAAAAATTCAGAAATTAAAGGAAGAACAAGCAAACCCAGGAGATTTGAAGCTAAGTTTGTGACACAGAATCTTTTTTCAAGGGATATTAATTACAAGTTAAAACAATTGTGTAATCTCTTAGAACTGTTTGTAACAAAAGATTCTCAAGCATAGAGTTTATCTGAACATTCGTGTTGATGCTGAAATGCCAGACTCCCTTTATTCCACTGTGTGATCATTGAGCTAAGCTCAGGGACCAGGTGAATGACCAAGCCACGGATAGCATAGCGAAGCACTGTAATCAGATGAGCTGTCATTAGCAACCAGGTGCTTACTCCTATTTCTGCTATATGGTAAAAGACTTGATGTGAGTCTCTTTCTCTGGCTTAAGCTATGAATACTGACAAACAAATTTTTTAAAATCTTACTATAATGGATTACGAATTTGCTGCAGTCATTACCTCTGTCTGCTGGAGTTCACGTCCTCTCAGCAAAGGGACGCGTTGTTCCTCCTTTCAGCTACGCAGCCAAGTGGTGCTGGTCAAATGCTGATAAAGGCAGGTTTGAACTGAGGTACCATAGTTTGAACTCAGCAGTTGGGTTGAAAATGTAAATTGTAATGGTGATACCTAGAAAAGAAGGTTGAGATCATAAGTTCTTAAATTGCCACTGCCAAACTCTGCTGCTACAACAATATCTTGCCTTGTACCTGGAGTAGGCTGCGATTGCTCTTTCCGTGGTGGCTGTTGGGTCAGACCTAGCTGAATTTCTGTCACTTGATCATGTCTCCGAGAATTCACAAAGAGGTACAGTACTTCAGTGTGTGGACCTCAGAAAGTACACATACTGTGCTTACGTGACCAAATAGGAGTTTCCTTATTGTGTGATTTCTTCCTTTCCCTTTGCTCTTGACAAAAGCAAGCTTTTCCAGCTTATGTATTATTGAACATTTAGTACTTGAGTTGTATATGTTGGACAGGAACAGAGTAATCTAGATCCTCTTGGCAAGAGGACAGGTATGTTAAGGATAGGGAACAAAGATCTTACATGTACTTATGTATATGATTATTTTTGTGTTGCTGCTTTGGGTGTGGGGCGTTTTTTGTAATTATTGGGATTACTGTTTCTAGGGCATGCACTCCTGGAAGATGAAAATAAGGTCTGGCATCTAGTCCGGCCAGTAGATGAAATAGATGAAGGTAAATCGAAGCGGGGCAGCGTGAAAGAAAAAGAGAGGACCAAAGCTATTACAGAAATCTACCTGACCAGACTTCTTTCTGTGAAGGTAGGGCTCAGATATGCCACGGTTACACCTTACTTCTATAGATTTTGAGGTACAACTGAAGAAAATGATGCAACTATTAGTCATATGTTCAGCTGCAATTTTGAATATGTCATGTACATATTCATAATGTTGAGGGCTTCAAGTGATTAATATGCCCTGAGGAACATTACTGGGAAAGAGATAAAGTATAACTCCTGATCAAAGCTGAGAACCATGATTATGTGTTCGTTAAATAAGGATTTTTCTTGCAAGACAACGATGGATATTCTCCTGTGTGCCACCTGTTTAGATAATATTTTGTTGGGTTTTCTTTTGAACCAAACGCTTTTTAAACTGCTACAGAGCCTTATATTTCCCTTTTCTTGTGTGTGACCAATGCTGCAGTATAACCTTGAAAAATAAAAATGTTTTCTAATAATACTAGTTCTTTTAGAGTATTTTTAGTGCTGATACTGCAGAATGGATCACAAGATGACATAGACTCAGGACAAAGAGCCAGCAAGATGCTTACATCCCTCTCTTCTGTTAATAACTCGTTTGCAGCCGCCGCTTTTCTGTTCCCAATAGCCATTTTATAGATTATCACCAGTCTGGAGCTTTACTAACTCGTACAGAGCTGGTGAGGTGTTATGGCTGGGACCACAGCTAGCCCTACAACCCAAGGACTGTCGATGTGTCCTTGCTGACAGCAGAGTGGCTTAGGGCTCCTTGCCTTCTTGGTCCCTGCCCTGTTCTGCGGCTGGCAGCTGGAGTGACGGTGAGAGAAAGGATGCAGCCCTTCAAATGTGTCTCTAGGGCCAACCAGCTGAGCGGGCACAAAATGCATGTGGCCTCAACGGGGTCATCTCTAAAACAAGGGGACAGTCTCTGAGGTCGCAGTCTCTAAGGTCCAGGCAGATGCAGGAATTCAACCAAGCATACAGCCCTCCTGGGACACTTCACTCCTTGGGCTCGGTGGAGCTCATAGAGCTGGGCCAGATTGGGTGTCTAATGAGACCCAAGTGCTTGCCCTTAAACAAAAAGTCAAATGCTCACTGGTACTTTTTCCTCTCAGTCTCTTTCTGAAAATTGCATGGTGTTCTGGAGTCAGATAAACTGGAGGTGGGAAGCTGCAAAACCATTAAAAAATGGCTAACAATTGTTTTATGTGCACAACGACCCTGAAGTGTAGATGTATTGTATACTTAGCAACCAGTTTCTGCTTCTTCTGTCAAGCAGAAAGCACACCTTTCTGTGCAAACTGCAGAATAGTTGGTGAAGTCGCAACCTTTCAGGCTAGAACATAAAATTGTTCTCTAGAAGGTGTTTACTGTGTTGGCAGTTTGCAAGGTCACTGCACTGAGAAGTTGCTTGTTTTTTGTCACCCGGTACCCTCAGCACTCAGGATGAAGGCCATCAGTGACTGCAACTGGATTATGGGTTGTTAGTGTCAACAGGAATAAAAGATTCTAGGATGGCAACCGAGTTCAGTCTGTAACACAAATGTAATATATTTTTTTAAATTTGCTTTTAGGGAACACTTCAGCAGTTTGTAGATAACTTCTTTCATAGCGTGCTCAACTCGAACCATGTGGTGCCACCAGCTGTGAAATACTTCTTTGACTTTCTTGATGAGCAAGCAGAAAAACATGATATCAAGGATGAAGATACCATTCACATCTGGAAAACAAACAGGTACAGTATGAACAGAGTAATAATTGTATTGCAGAGAAATGAGAGTGTAATTCCCAGGTATGTACTGGTACTCTTACCACAAATCGAAGTAAATTTCATTTATAATTCTCAGAATCATTTTTATTGAGCTAATATGTTTATATGATCAAAAGGATTCCCTGTAAGCCTAGAAGCTGCAGAAATGAAACCAGCCTACCTGTGGGGTTGTCATTGGCAGATTTACCACTTTACTTTTTGTCTTTCCTCAGAGAAGAGGAAAGCAAGAGGCAAATGGGACTAGATTTACTGTGCTGTCAAAGCACAAAATCTGATAAAATACTACTCAGGTAGTTTCTCTAACCACACTGACATCATCTCGTGCTATTTTGGGGTACTCGAGATTCTTCTCATATGAATTTTTCTGTGAGATGTAAAGGCTTGGTTTTCAGACATGGAAACCAGACAACAGATAGCTTGTATAAACGTTGAAATATAAAATTAAGCTTCTTTGTTGCGAGAAGATCAAAATGCAAAACCCGTACTTAATTTGATGTGATTTGCTTATTGTAGAATATTTATTGTGTAAAAAGGATTATTTATCTTTTTCCTTGCTTTGTAGCCTGCCTCTTAGATTCTGGGTAAACATACTGAAAAATCCCCATTTCATCTTTGATGTTCACGTTCACGAAGTAGTGGATGCTTCCTTGTCAGTCATTGCACAGACTTTCATGGATGCTTGCACAAGAACAGAGCACAAATTAAGCAGAGTAAGTGATTTGCATTCTACATCCTGACTACACTCATGCCTGACAAGACAAAGGGCATCCTCATAGACAAAACCCATTCTCTGAGGAGATACAGCCTTGATAGTTTTTTTTAGTTTTATAATGAAGTTAGCATTTCACCACTGAACAGGTTGGTGAACGTGTCAGTGTTACTGTGTAGTCTGCCAATTGATGTTTATAAAAAGGAGAAAATAGCAACTGCTTTTATAAAAAGCAAGCTTAAGAACTGCATTTTATGTCCACGAATAATTGAGTATCATCTTGCACTGATATATTTGTAAAACTGAAAAGTAATGCTGTGTGTAAACTCCATGCTTTTAGGACAAATAATCCCACCAATGTTAATAAGCATCCAAATGTTAATAACTGTAAAGCTCAAGTGCATGTGAGTATAAAGGCTTGATCTTAAGTTCTTGACTTTCTTTTGCTTCCTAGAAATGTTCATAAATCAACCAAGTTTCTCTCTATTATAAATTTTCCAGGATTCTCCGAGTAATAAATTACTTTACGCGAAAGAAATCTCTAACTATAAGAAAATGGTGGAAGAGTAAGTATAGACTCCTTTCATGCTTATTCGGAGTTGTTAGGGCTTAGTGTAAGAGGAAAAGCGAATGCTGAGGTAGTCAAAGTCAATTGTCAAATGTTAAAAATTTTACACCTGAATGTTAAAATGTTCCCTTGGTGGTGGCATTGGCAGGGTTGAAATGGAGCGCCGTTATGACCCAGTGCATGTTCATGTCTGTGCAGACAGATGGATAGATTTATTCAGGACAAAATATGATGCTGTTTTCTGCTGTGGTTGTTGTTACCCATACGATCTGTCTAATCAACGCTGCACTTTCGTAACTCAGTAGAGATCAAATCCTGAAAACATTTTCACAAGCACATTTTTTCTATTCCATCTCTGACTTTATTCATTTACTAATTGGCAATTTGTGAATACCATGGAAGGTCTGCCGCAAGACAAAACTCTTCTTAGCTGATGACTTCAAAAGTTTGAAGACCTAAAATAATCATCGGCTGCAATTATAAATAGATTTCTTTCCTGTGGTATGGCCCTGTACAATCAGATACAATTTGCCTCTGTTGTGAAGGTACTAATGACTGTTGGAAGGCAGGATTACTAAAGGAATCATTGGTCTGTTGTGGTAGAGCATCTCCTGCGTTATTAGGAAACGTTTAAAATAACTGCAAAATTGAAAGACAGAATTACCAGAAAACCACACTGTATTTCATCTAATTGAAAGTCTGTTTTCATCTGTTGCAGTTACTACAAAGGTATTCGTCAGATGGTGCCAGTTAGTGACCAAGACATGAATACCCATCTAGCAGAGATTTCTAGGGTAAGAATAAATTCCATTTTGTTATCCTGAGATTGGAGCCACGTATAGCACTGTTTTTCTTTGTCTTCTCTTTCTAACTCAACAAGTGGGTTTTTTGTATGTGCAGACATCAAATGAGTTATTTCATAAATCTCTGAAATACTCCTGTTTAGTGTCGTTGTGCCTTTTAGCCCTTTGAAATGTTGATTATTGAATGGAACCAAGAATGGTTATCATCACTAATCCAGTGTACTTACTGGCTGGTTCGCTCATTTGCTTAATTTAGTTGAAGAGTTCTAGTGTAAGGAGGATGTTTGGGGAATTTTTTGTGGTTTGTTTATTTCAGTGCCCTTACGACCTAACATTTTGCAGATCAACATCCTCATGAGAGCATTTCTATTTTCAGTCATTCACTACAAAACTCATCTGCAGCAACATTTCGTTTTCCAGTTCACTCTATTTATTACACAAATTGACATGTATATAAAATTAAAACGTTTGGTGATTTAAAGTAAATTCAGTAGACTGTTTTAACATCAGCGGAGTATGTTGATCCTTTCTATTTACATTATAAATTATGATAAAAATGAATATGGACGGACTCATCGAACATTGCAAATTTTGACCAGCTCTAGAAGTGACTTTTATAGAGCAAGGGAAGATGGATGTTTCTCTGCTGCTTTATGCCTTGGGTAATCATTCACGCCAGTAGCAATATTTTGCAATCCTTCATTTTCTTAACTAACTTAAAAGACTAAAGGCGTAACTAGAGACTTGAATCCTATACGTTTGAATGAAAAACATCTGTTTAGACAGGTAAAGCACATTCACTAAGTAAGTTAGATGTCAGGGGGGGAGAGAGGAAGAGGTAATGGAAGGGCTATTTCCTGCTTCATTTAAAGTTCTTTTTCTCTCTGTCTCTCTCTTTCCCCTTTCCATCTTCATGATTCAGATGGCTTTTTCCAAACATACACGTGTTCGTGATCTTGATGAGTTGCACCTTTGCTGTAGTGAGGTGTGAATAATTTCAAAGAGTTAAAAAGAGCTGGAGAAAGGATTTCAAACAGCCATGACAGTGACAGAACCTATGCTTAATATCTCAACAATAGGTAGATTGTACTGAGTAAATGTTTTAGTTATACATACCCATGTTGTTAACAGATGTTCTAGCTGTAGTCTGTGGTTTGACGTTCAGAGTTCAAAATGTTTTCCACCTCCAGTGTTAGAGTTGTGGGCAGGCTGGAAAAACACCAGCAGGGAAGTCTTGATCTAAAAATCACCAAACAAAAGTTTTCTCACCCCTTTTTTCTGCCCCAGCTGTCATTTAACAAAAGTTACAGGATGCAGAGCTTGCATTTGGAAATCTTGTCTATTGTATCCAGCAGTTGTGCACGTGCATAACTTTCAGTTGTCTATGATCATATTTTGACACGTTTGCTGCCCGCTTGTGTTGTTTAACAGGCACATACCGATTCCTTAAATACGCTTGTGGCTCTACACCAACTCTACCAGTATACTAACAAATACTATGATGAGGTAAGTTGCGGCTTTTGTTTTCATTTTTTAATATCAATGGTAAAAAGTTATGAAGGCTAACGTCAGTCTAAAGGAACAACTTCTGGAATTCCCTGGATAATCAGGTAAAAGCAATGCTGAACAGGAAGCTCTAACTTTGCAGTTATACACTTTGCTTGGCAATTACGCTGGTCAAGGGTGTGTTCTTATAAATGAACAATTTCATTACGGGCTATCTGTTTTTGGTAGTGATAGTTTAACAAGATCTGAAAGAGAAATAGGTTTAAAAATAATTTCTCTTCAGTTCTACAGTCCTAGTTTCTAAGAATTAGGACAAAAGAATGTCACTGAGCAAAAAGTAGTTGTCAGAGCTATATCAGGTTTCAAGCCAGTGGGTTTTTTTATTAGGAACAATCCATTAAACTTGTTTTGCTTGTAGGAATGGGGCCGTGTCTTTTTTATTAGTTAAGATGCACTTAAAACTTCCATGCATGCTACCGTCCCTGTTTTGCCGTGCCAAATGAAGTGCCTGCCCAAGGTAAACCAAAGTAGAGTAACTTTTGAATATAGCCTGATTCAAAAGGAGGCCCACCGATTCAGTCCAAAACATTTCTTAGGTTTTTCACGCCCTGTGGAAAGGGGGACAAAGAATATCCCAGTGTAGCTGGGCTGTGGCTATGGCTCTCCAAACTTAATCTGAAAACAAAAAGAGAGAAGGAAACTTTTATTCAAAGGTTTCCATGGAAATGAATGCCTCCAGAAAACTCTCAGAATTAAATCAAAGCAAGTAAGAACAGATGCTGAATCAAAAAGGAGTACAGCACATGTGAGCTCTCTTCGGTTTGTCTTGCACCTCAGCACAGTTCCTGTTTTCACTTTAGCACTAAAGGCAGTGAGTCTCATCCTCAGCTTCACGGCAGCTGCTTTATACAGCAGCAGCCAGCCTGTCGCAGCTTTTAAACAGATGTAAGCAGGGAAAATCAAATCACCCTGAGAAGTCTTGCAACGAGGGTCAGTAGAGGAAGCGGCCAGAGGAATGCAGGCCAACCCATGGCGTTGGTTTCCTCGCCCCTCAGCCCCAGCGCTAACCACGCTGGCTTTCAACGCCTTCCCAAATGTATCCGTGGCCTGACTTCTTACAGAAACACTCAGGGACCCTGACTGACAGATGAACCATAAAGCCCTGATTCTTCCACACCCCTGTGTCCCTGCTTCCATTCGTGGTTTCACGTTTGGTGGCAGGCGCAGATGGAGTCACCCGTCTGTGGGACTTCATCAGTGGCAGGCCAGCAGCCCCCAGTGCGTAGCTGCAGCTCTTCCTTTCACGTACGTCACTGTATAACAACAAGGTGCATCTGATGAAAAGGCTGCTAATTCAGAGTTATGGAGATAATCTGTCAAGAACCATTCAGTAAAATTAATCGAGCTTATTTATTTTCCGTGAAAATGTTTTAATTTGCATAAATTGGAACATTTTGCAGCTGCCCTTGTCTTTATTACTGACGCAGTGGTTCCCAGCATGCGCTGTACCTTCTGCATCTCTGCAGGGCTTGACAATGACTAAGTGGGTACATTCTAATTGTCCACATTTATATGAAGGATATATTCACCAGCAGAGATAATCATGAATTATTTAGTCTAGATTTGAGGACTTACAGCTAGATGTAATTGTTTAAATTAAGGGAACAATACCAAATTAAATTAGACCCAATTTAAATACTGTAATAAGTGTTTATTAACGCTGTCTTGTAAAAATGTTTTCACGCTTTAAAAACAAATCCATTAAAATAATTATTTCTAAACAAATTTGCTCCAGTGTTTGAAACTCAAATGCTATACCAGCCCTTCAAAGTGAAATTATTGGCTAGATTGATCCTGACTGCATTAATCTCCATTGTCAATGATCTGCAAGAACTAGTAAGAACCACAGGTAGTGACAGGCAAACTCTGTTTCTTCAGTTCTTGTACTTGCAAGTTCATACAGTATTTAAACAGAGCTAAAGGTTTCTGCTTGATTACAGTGTCTGACTTTTATTAGTAAAGCCAGTTCTAGAAAAGGAACGGTTTTGCCGTGTAACACATTCTCCTAATGGAGAAATCTAATAGTTGGTGAAAAGTTTCCCTAAAGGATGGTGGAAATGAAAACCTTTTGAAACCTTTGAAATTTGATCTTGAGAAGTCCTAAAAAACTCTGTTTGAAAAAAAGTCTTCTCATAACAGTTGACCTTTTCTAGCTCTTGTTTTCAAATCCCTTGTGTGTTAGAGTCATACCTTCCTATATATATATTCCGTACAGCAGAGGCTGCATGCGGGATGCTGGGGGGCTCCTCTGACGAGCTCTTTGCTTCCTCAGCTACGTGGTGCTGGGCCAGAGTCTCGGCATTTCTTGGCGAGAGCCAAAGGGGAGTTGCCAGCAGCTCCCTGACGGTGGCCAAACCGTTTTCTTCATCATAGTGCCTATAGACACAAGAGACCTTGCGTTGCCCTACCTAACACCTGTGCGCGGACCACCCAGGAGCTTCTCCTAACCAAAGCTCACGGGGATGGGGCTTAATTACTGCTGGTAAATGACCCTTAAGCCTTGTAGGGTGCACTGCAAGTAAAAGCACTATTTCTTAAATAGCTATAAAGACATTTTTCCCCCTGCCTGTTCCATCTTGGAATGTAGTATTTCACAAGATAAAGTACTACCTATTAATTTGCTTGGATCCCAGCATAATGGGAAACATTACAGCAACTTAGATAAAGTAATGGAGACTATCATTTTTATTGCCTTTGTGTAAAAATAGAACGTGGGGCCTACTAGATGGACTTTATCTTTGGTATAGAATGAATGCAAAAGGCTCTTTACAACCAAAGTAGTATGGAACACTTGGTCCGGGAACTATGTCGTGTATTTTAAGCTAAATGATTTTAAACATTCTGTGTTTATTTCTTCCAGATTATAAATGCACTTGAAGAGGATCCAGCTGCACAAAAAATGCAGCTTGCCTTCCGTTTACAGCAAATAGCAGCTGCGTTAGAGAATAAAGTGACTGACCTTTGACTCAAAAGCCGCAATAAAGAAATCTGATCTGAAGATGTTCAAATTCATTCTTCCTGTTAAGGAAATAGTGTTCTATTTTTTAATGTATAATTACAACTTTAAATGAAAGATTTCATGTTTTTTTGATAGCAGAGATGTAATGTAAAAAATTTTTACTGTAAATTATGCTTCTAATTAAAAGCTGTGTTGTGTGTAAATGAATTTTCTGTGGGAAAGAGAGTCCTTTGGTTGGGGTGCAGGGTGGGGGGTGGAAGAAGGAAAACCTATAGTTTGTTTAATTTAGTAGAATCTGAGACATCAGTATTTAGGATTCATTATGCAAGTAAATTCAATACTATAGCATCCTTTCTACATTAAGCAATATTTGTACTAGGAAAACAATAACATACTCGGAGACACATGCAATATCCCCTTTTATTTTGATAACTGGAAATTGACTTCCATATAGCTCTAAAACTTAGTCTATGCTCATAATGAACATCGTGAACAACATGTCTGATTTCTCTGCAAGATCCAGGAATGGGATTTGCTACCACACACGGTTCTTAATTTAATTATTTATGTCCATGGTGATGCACAGTACTGCACCCACCACAGTTGGCTGCGACAGAAATAAGAGTAATGTCAGTGTAGGAGAGTTCTACTGATAAAGTCTCATTCGGTTCGGAAATCACTGCAAAGAAGGAACTAGTCCTTAAAACTTTACAACTCTTTGTTATTATTGTGAGTTTTATGATATATGCTAATGTGCCTTACTTGTACTAATTCTGTGAATCTGATGAATGGTTTTGTAAAAAGAAGCAGATCAGAAAAAGAAATATTTATGTGCTATTGAATGACTTCTGTGTGAAAAACATGACCAGCAGAATGCTTGTAATTAGCTGCTTGCCGAGAGTGTGCTGTTTAACATGATTTGATTATGTATAATATCTTATTTTAGAATGGTTCTGATGATTTTTTATTTGAATCTTGGAACTGTCGTAGAAATACCATCACTTGTTTTTATTGTATTTGTGATGTAAAATACTAGTATGATATTGGAAAAATCATATACTCGTCTATTGAAAACCACTCAGTCAGTTTTGAGCCTTGGAATGCTGCATTTGATTGAATACACACCATAACCCCATAGCAAAGACAATTGAAATAACTTGTCAGAAAGTGTGTGTTTACAATATAGGTAAGCTCCGTACAAATCAAAAAGCTAGGTACGTCTTCTTAAATTGCTGTATTGCACATCAGAGAACTTTATTCCTCTTTGTCTCACAAGTTTTTGGCAGTAAAGTAGCATTTTAATGAAGCGCTGCCATCTGTACTCCTTCGTTCATTGTCCTGCCAAGCGCCCGGACTCTGCTGGTTCTCAGCAAGCTAACGCAGTGTCTGCTGCCGCTCTCCCTGCCCGGTAGGTTGTCACACAGTGACTTTTACTGTTCGTTGATTTTTTTTTCCCCCCTTTTTGAAAATTTCCTAGTATTTGTCAGTGGGCCTTTCCTTAGTTTCCAAAAATCAAAAGCCTTGCCAGAACTGGTTTCCTGCCCAGTAGGCTGGGAGGGGTTTTTTTGGTTTGTTTTGTATTCGACTTCTTGCATTTGTGTATAATCATTCCTGAACCTGCCTGGGCTGTAAGTTATTTTCCACTGTTTAGAACTGAGGTACATGACTTCTACATAAAGGTGCTTTGCCAGCTACTCCTTCATCAACAAAGGCATCCTAATTTCATGGCTAATCTGTTTCTTTGTCATTATTTGTAAATCCTGTTAATTGTAAATCAAATACAATGTTGTTTTTTTCCACCAAGTGTCACGGGATCTTTACTGAAATTGGGGGTGGGTGTTGAAAGGGGTTTGTAATGCTTCCTCCAGGGGTGATAGAGCAGGAGCGTCTGTCAGTCTGCGGTTGGTAATGGAGGAGCAGAGCACATCCTGCAGATGGTATGCCTGACATCATGCCCTTTTTATGGGCATTTGCTCTGAAAAATGAGAGTACTCCTGAGAAGAGAGGATGTAGTGCAACATCCCGTAGCGAGATCTTCTTGCCTGATGAAAATCCGTCTTGGGACCTGAAAGCCAATTAAAATACAGGCTCAGCAGCACATCTCCAGAGAGATCAGAAAGCCCTGCTTGAACAAGTAGGGCTTTCAGAGGGAACATTACATGTCCCCCACCATCAGTGACTTGATGCAGAGCAACTGCAGGCGATCAGAAGCTGCCGTGGGCTGTGGCAATGCTGTAGCAGGGTCTTTCTTACCTGTTAGACAAGTGTGTGTGTCAGCCGGCGTGTGCGAGTTCGTGATGGACCCATTGGTCACTCTTTGGTGCCCTTTTTTTTTACATCCTGGGAAATTTGCAGGCTTTTGGCACTGCAGTGCCATCTGCCAGGGAACATGGAGGCAGATAACTGTGAGCAGCTGCAGCTACAAAGGAGACTTAATGCCAGTTCTTCAATTTCTCTAAGTCTCCTCTCCTGAAAGCACAGAGTTGGAATTTGAATTGAAGAACTGAGCTGGTTTATTTTATTCTTTCCCCTTCTGGCTAAGCTCCTCCAGTGCTTGTTTTTCCACTCTGGTGCTCCGTTTTGTCCAGGCCTAGTTTTTGGCTTCAGTTTTCCCTACGTTTTAGCCATCTGATTCTTAAAGGCTTCATGCTCCTCCTTTGGTTTCTGCTGCTCCTGCCATCTGGTTCATCTGCAAGATAAAAGAAAAAAGCTCACTGGGGGTCTCCCTCCTTTTCATCCCCTCTGCAACCCCTCTAAGGGGCACTTCTTTGAGCACAAGAACCTTCTCTCTGCGTAATAGGAGCCGCTCTACTCCATAGCGGCAGCTGTGAACAAAACTCCCTTGCTTGGACATCTCCCAGCCATAGTTCAGAGGTGGGTGCAGGCTGTCGACCACCACCAGCAGGTCTGAATCCCGTTGCTGATTTCAGCCTCTCCAAAGGGTTTGCTTGTCTCCTCACCAGCAAACAAGCAAGTAGAGATCTCAGATGATGGGACAAGGTCCCTGCCCCTGCTTGCCTAATACGGAGTAACTCACTCAACTGAACAGGAATTTGGCTTTTTGTCGCTGGCCAGGAATTTACTCTCTATTCCTTAGTGCCAGATTTCCCTCTGACACCTTAGTAGATCTTTTTGCCACTCTCTGTATGCTATAGATTTATAAGCAAGTGGTTATGGGTGGAGAGGAGCTCGGCTAGCTTGCATATGTGAGGCATAGTGCTTCCTCAAATGATTTCTCTGATCAGTCTGTTACAGCCGTACTTGAGCCTCCCCCTTCTGCAGGCTGCTGTGTTGGACATGTGTTTCTCGGCCTGCTCAGTCTGAGCTGTGTTTACATGCACTCTCTAAAGCTGGCCTTTCTGGCAACCTTTTGAAGACCAGCAGAGCCATCACTATAAACAAAAACGTACAGGGAATTCAGAAACTCAAACTGGAATTCATAAATTCATAAATTCCCAAACTGTCGTAACATGGGAGGATTTTTAGCCAGCTGCATGAAGACTTAAAATGGCTCCTGAGCTTGAAATTCAGCTGTCCTGGACTTACCAGCACTGATGAGATTTTGTGGCCAGTCCTTTACTGTTCCAGATTCTCAAGCCTTGTTAGTAACGCAACCATTTTCAACCATAGTATGCCCTGGTAGTATGTACCTGCATGGCCTAAAAAAAAATCTCTGAATGTGATCAGGAAACCCCTCTTTCACATGCTTCCTATGGCTTCAATACCTCCATTTGCCCTGATAAATTAAGGTTCTAGTCAGGTTTTCCATTTGCACCTAAGCACATGGTGTAACAGTTCTCTGAGGACTTCCTCTCTAAAGAATTTGGATCTTGAGCCTTGTCTTAAGAGTTTTCCAGGTCTGTTGTCTTGTCTTAGAAAAAGCTTATGGGGGAAGTTGTTTGGGGTTTTTTTCTTCCTCTGTCTAGAGGTAACCTGTCAGAGCAATGAGACAGAAACAGTCAACTTCAGAAGTTTAAAGGAGGATGTCTGGCTGCCATTTTTTCTAACTGCTGGCTCAAGTCCTGTGCTATTCTGCTTTACGCTCGGAGGGGTTGAAATTTGGCGCTTTGAGTCACTAGAGTTGTTGCACTGGAAATCTCAGCACTGTGGTCCTTGTGACTTGCTTTCATCCCTCATTCCCAGCTCAACGCAGTCAAGCTCAGCGCCTGAAGCTTTCCAGGTTCTCTGTTACACGAGCTCCTCTCTTCTTAGAGGTTTGCTTTGCCAGATCTGCCTGGAGCATGGGATTCCCTGGAGAATGAATGACAGCAGCACACAAGCTAAAATGATCGGTGATTCTGTTTTCTCAGGCTCTGTGCTTACCTAGTCTGTGTTTCTGTCTTTTTTATTTTGAGAAACCCTCCTTCAGTTGATGAATGATGAATTTGAAAGGTGGAATTGTAAACTAGAGTTGGTCTTTCAGCCTTCCTCTTTTGTTAGCCTTTGTCTTGATGGGGCCTAAAAATGATGGTGGAAATCCTGGTGTTTGACAATTCCTGCAGAAGAGAAGGAAAAGAGACTTTCCAGACCCACAATTATCAGGAAGTTTTTAAGGGTTTTGTTTTCTTCAAATCGTGTCCCCTTATGGCTCAGTGACAAGGCGCATTTCTTCATCCATTAGAGAAGAAAGTGGCTTCTCCTGTGCAGGCCTGTAATAACCATCTGTGCTATGTAAGACCACTGCCATTGTACCAGTCATTCAGGGCTGACTTTTGTCTTGCCGGTGCATACTGCTTGCTGCTGCGTGTCATTCCCAAAGACAAATCCTACTATCATTCATAGCCAGGCAATCAAAAGCGATTTCATTTACCCATTTATTCCTGTTTCTTTGCTGCTTTTCAGATAATTGCCATTTGAACCAGAAGAGAGTTTGAGTGCCTTCCTTCTTTTAAAGCACCTATGTGTCTTAACAGATTGAACGCTTCAGAAAGAAACTATTTCTTCAGTGGGAAAGAGGACAATAGCTCTCGTACAGCTGTATATGGCTCATCTTAAAAGGAAATAAAAATCCCACCATGAACCACACACTGTGTTTTTGAAATCCTTTATTCAGTGCTCTAATTCTGAACAAAGTTTTTGGCTTATTTAATTCTCCTCAAAATTGAATGTTGAACAAAACTCTCTTTTTTTCTTTTAATCTACTGTAATAAGAAAGGAGTGAAATGAAAAATGTATTCCTTTGATACCCTTAATCTT